AGAAAAAACTTTTTAGTTTAAGTAAGTCCCATTTGTTGATTCTAGTTATTAACTCTTGTGCTATGGGTGTCCTATTGAGGAATTTAGAGCCCGACCCCGATTCCCAAAGTTGTAAGGACCACTGTAAATTGCTCTTTAAAAAGTTTGAAAAATCATTAACTTCTTGGGTTCTTTAAGAATTCTTAACTGCTTAAGGTGACAATTCTTAGCTTCATGCATCTATATTTAAATCACAACATTTCACTACCACGTAGGCGATTTTCAACTAGTGTACCATATTGCTTCCCAATGATTCATCTAGGAAATGTGATATTTTAAAGAGATTAACTTCTCTACAAAAGGTGTAACAACCAAGATTCATGCTTAAATTTGTTAAGTTGTTCTCAACTCTATCTATATAGTACTCATTGAGCAATGACATTATCATTCTAAACGCTAAAAATTCTGTTATGAAATTATGATTCCACTTTGAGTTAGCAAGCAAAGAGCATGTAAGTTTGTAACTTCACTATCAGAGATATTTTGAAGGTCAAGAAAAGTAGACTATTATAAAATACCTCATTTTTATTCGGTCAAAAACACAAATATTATTCTGAAAAAACAACACTCTAACAAATAGAAAATATAGAATAAAACTTATCTTTTAGCCTTACTCTTAAGGGAGAATATATTTTCTCTTCAGTTTTGATTTAGGTCTAAACAAAACTGCCTAATGTTGTATGTTATGATTCTACCTTTACTAAAGACTAGATTTAAACAAACAAACAAAAAAACAGAAACTTTGATCTGCAAAGAGTTCTTCAAACTTCAAGAAATGTTAAATATCTTAAAAATGTAAACATTGTGATTTATTTGAATTTTTGTGTGTACTAAATAAAAGCAAATGTTTGCTAGCTTGCTTTTAACATCAATGCCTCTAACATTCTTAAAATGTTGTTTATTGTTTCCTGATTCTACTAAAATGAAGGAAAATGGCAAAAGTAAAGTAAGAGTATTAAGTGAGAAAAAGAACAAAATAATATCATTTTATGGCTCACATTTTTACCTATAGCTACATAAAACTTCTTCCTATGAAACAGACTGAAGTTGGGGATCCTTCTGAAATTGAACACAACTTCCTTATGCTCAGATGGAGGCTGCAGAGCTGCATGCTCTGACCTGGCAGAGGCCATGGAGGTTAAAGTGGAGATCCCCTATACCGGGAACTACCTAACACAGACTAACTAAATCTACCTCTGGGTATCACCTGGCTTTTGTTTCTGTAAATTGTGACTGATTCAGTGGGGCTGGTGGAGGAAGAAGCAATCTCCATCAAACTGTATAAAATACATTTTTCCTTTTTCCATTGTTTGCCTATTTTTTCACACTGCTGCATTCTGCCAGCCAAGACCCAGGCTAAGCCCCTGAGGTGTGCTGCTGGTAACACCACAATATACAAAAATCTCCAGAAATAATACTGGAAAGGATTCTTTAGAACTGTACTTCTCACCACCTGGGGTATTTATGAATCACAGAGATCTTGGTAGGATGATTTTTAAATCTTTAAGTATTCAGCAATCCCAAGTTTGTGTATTTCTTACAAGCCCCAAGATAATGCTGACGTAGTCAGAGGGCCTCTCTGAGGAGCAATGCCCTTCAAGCATCCTAAGAGAAGGTAAAATTCTCAACCTTCTTGCCAAATAAAGGATTCATGCTTATATATGGCATGCACACTTACATTGCACATTGTGCATTGGTAGTTTCAGAGAAAATCAGGCGCTTTTCTTGAATTAGAATTACATAATTAGGATAAGCCTGATTGTAGCATTTCCATCATAGTTAGCAGCCCATTTCTTACACCAGCGCCTTAGAGATCCTCTTCTTCCACAGAGTTAGATCCAGACAGGACACATTAAAAGAGGCATTAGACACCCTATTTCTGGAGGAGGCCAGCCACCTCCAACCCTACCAACAAGTGAGGAATGCAGAACCCAGCAATCCTAAACAGAATCCTAAAGGGAAGTTCTACTGATGAATACCTCAAAAATAGTGTCTTCCTTCCTGCAGGCAACATTGATTGCTGTGCTAGTTGCTAAACATCTTCTACTCAATCTCTGCATCAAATTCATTAAACTGAAATTTAGGGTTGTTGTTCCACTATTTTTTTTTTTTTGCCTTATATATTTTGACTTTTCTAACCTGAATTCAAACAGCTATATAGACATGTCTTTTTTTCTCCTTTGGTCACTCTTTCTGCAGGGGTCTTTGGCAAAGCTTCAACCACCTCTAAATAGGTATGTAAATCTTAATGGGTGGGCAGCCAGGGATGGCAGCACATGCCTGTAATCCTAGCAGCGAGGAGGCTGAGGTGGGAAGATTGTGCATTCAAACCCAGCCTCAGCAAATTAGTGAGGTCCTAAGCAATTCAGGAAGACCCTGTCTCTAAATAAAATATATTTTTTAAAAGTGGGGTGTCCGGGGCCTGGGTATGTGGCTAAGTGGTTAAGCAGTCCTGGGTTTAATCTCCAGTACAAAAAACAAAAAAACTTGAAGGGGTGTTATGCATTCCAATTTTGCTCTCCAAATGATATATGGAAGCAAGTGAGAGTTTAAGTATTGACACACATTCTAAATAAACTATGTATGTAGGAACTACACAGCAGAGTCAGGTTTTTGAGTGGGCTCACACATGCAAAATTGTTATATAGGAACAGAGTCTTGCCTGCTGAGAAGTAACATTGAAACCAGGTAGTTAGTACTGCTAAAATACCATCACCAAACTGCTTCCCATACCCCTTCACCTGCAGCAGGTTCAGCTGGCTAATTCAGTGACTACTGTGATTTATCTCCAGATCAAGCTTTGGGAACTCTATCCACTGGTTTTTCTGAGAGTTCCCAAATACTCAGTATTCAGTCCAAAGTTCTGTGACACAGAATACCCAAAAATATATCCAAAAATAAGCCCAAGAATCCAAAGGGGTTTTCAAGGGACTTCTATTGCATATTTTAATGTTGGGAAAGCACTTTGTGTTGTAACACACACAAGGTGTGTAACACCTTTTCAAATGTCATCTGGATGAGCATTTGCCACAGGAATGAATGTCAACTTAGTATTAGATTGTTCTTTCCATAAAAGCATTGATGAGGTCTTTCTTTTCTTTTCATGAACAATCAAACCTTCATCAGGGTATCAGCAAATATCTGTAAATGGAAATATGTGATGGTACTAGGTTCATGCTCAAGATGACTGAACTGCTACACAGGAACTATCTACCAATGATAAACAAAAGCTATTTTGAGGACATTTATTGTCATACTGTTATTGTGGACCAATCAAAGCACATATATAGACTAGGAGCACTACAGGTAGGTGAAGAAAGTGCAAGTAAGTGTTCAGGATACACTAATTCAGTGACCACTGGGGTTTATCTCCAGATCAAGCTTTGGGAACTCTATCCACTGGTTTTCAGACTGTTTTCAGACTGTGTTTTGAAGGCTGCCTTAAAACTTACTTCTTCCGGATAGTTTTTCAGTGGGTGTCCACCACTGGAGACTTCTCCCTAGAGACAAAGAGGAAGAAAGATTGAAAAAGTCAGGAGAAGGAGAAAGAATGAGTTATGGAGATCTGAGAGCAGGAAAGAGGTGACTCTTCCCCACCGTCTCTTTAGAGAGTATCAGATGGGCAGTTTCTGCTCTTTAAAAGAGAGATAATTTTTTTTGAGATGACAATATATCTTTCAAGTCAGTTTTAATTAGTATAAATAAATAATCTGCTAGAGTATCTAACTAAGTCTTAGAGCAGAATGCTAAACAAATTTATAAAATTTGCTATTAATTTAATAAATTAGATGAGAACTTGCTAATTCTGTAAATTTGTGTTAAGATCTAATACTTGGACTTAAAAATATTTTATGGAAAAAATATGTATCATTAGCCTTTAAATTCAATAAGTACATTCAATTTTTCTCACTTTATGAGCCTTAAAGTAGTAAACTTTCCATTATTTGTGCCTACTCTAGCACTCTTATTTTTTATCTTGAATACTAGTAACCACTGAGATTTAAATCACTGAAATTTAAAACAACCAAGTTAAACATAGATTTCAACTTGTCAAACAGCTTGTTAGTTTGAATAAGTAATATTTTTACACTCCATGGCCAGAGACATTTGGAAACAAATTCTGAGGTATCATGAAATAATAAACGTCAGGCCACCATATGTGTTTAAAAGATCACTAAATAAATGTGAATAAAGCTTATATTGGTTTCTATGGAAACTTTTTTAACTTTTCAAGGAGCCTCATCTACATTATCTCATTAAATTGCTTTTTCAGGAAAACTTGAGGGCAAGACATCCTTAGGCCAATTTGATAAGGGAGAGAAATCAAAGTCAGAATGGGATAAGTAAAGTGACTAATGTCAAGGAGTATTGCTAGAACTGAATGACTTCTGACATTCTTTTACCTTGCTTAAATTTAAAAAAAAAAAGTAAGAAATATAGTTAAAAAAATTTTCTGGTGTGTGCTCCACACTTGGAGTGGAGAGGGAAAAAAAACATCAAAAACTAAAAATTAAGCTAGGAGTAAGATGCTAATATTCCTAAAAACATAGACATCATAGGTCGACAGAGATGGTACTATTTTTTTTTCCAAATCATGGTTTCCACTAGTGAAAAAAATCAATATGTTGCAGTTTAACTGTTTCCAAATGCTTCCAAGCTTGTAGGATTTTTAATGGATAAATAGTGAGAGAGATAAGATAGTTCTGTTATCTTAAACTAAAGCATAAACTATTTGGAAAAAAATTGAATCCATATAAGTCCTCTAAACTGTGAGGGATTTAACTCCAAGTACACAGAGAGGACTGGAAACTCACTTCAGATAAACTTCTTAGGGCTGAACTTGCTACACTAGCTGCCCTCATTTGAACAACTAGAGGAGGAATGCTGTGGGCTTTTCCAATGTGGCTCTTTTGTGTGACAGAACTTGTACTTGCATGCTCATAATCCCTTCCCTTTGCCTGCTCAGAGGGGAAGGTGGCAAACTGCTTAGAGTTACAAATGCACCTTTCTGGGCAGCCAGCACTTGAAGCCTGCCTGGCAGCCTCTGAACTCAGGAGGGTTAACAGCGAGGCAGCAGGGAGCAGTGCCCAGCAGCTCGCTGAGAAGGGAGATTTGTCTCCTGGGAACTGGAGGGCAATGGTTTTCCCAATTTGTACATTTGCAGTCTTCTGCTGGACCTCATGATGACCGAAGGCTTTCTGGATGATCGAATAGAAATAAAGCAGAGTTCTTGACAGCTCTGCTTCTTCCCACAGTGCCAGGTCTTTGAATATCTACACCAGAGAAAATGACTGTGAAAGTTGATATGAGGACAAACTCCTTCTTGTCAGACTCAGACAAAATTAGAGAGGGAAGTTATGAGGGGGAGGACCCATGTCTGTCTATCTGAGATAAGGACTTTCTCAAGGAGTATTCAAAGGCCTAGCACATGCCTCATTCTACACATACTCTGTGCTTTGCAGTCACACGTATGCACAGATTTCTGTAACAAAGTTGATCTTTAACATTCTTTAATACTGCAACAATTCAAACAAGAGTCTCTCCATAGAATACTGGCCCAGCAGTGGAATCTGCACCAATAAACTCTTGCCAACCCCTCCACCACCACAGGCATCTCCAAGACCAATGAACTTAGTATCTAAGTAGCTTACATAAACTTCTCACTTTCACCTTTAAAACTTCCCCTTGTCTTGACCTTCTTGAATATACTCATACTTTACTATGGCACATGTAATGCCATTACAATGCTCTGTCATTCCCAAATAAAATCATTATTCTTTGGGTAATCCGTCTGTGACTGTTATTTAGCTTGGAAGAAGAAATCTACATGCTACCATTTATTTCATTGGAGTTTGGCTGCAATTGTCCTTCATAAATCAATGACAAGGTTGGTACCGCTGAATAAGGAGAACAAAATAAAAGACTCTAGGGGGAAAATACAGAGGAAACAACCACTTTGCAGGTTGCAGAGAGAATTACAGATGCAGCAAAGGCCGAGTAGACAAAGCAAAGAACAAGATGTCAGGATCTCTGATTCTTAGGGTCAGGAGAGCTGGCTCCATTCAAGAGCTTTGGTCCAATATGTCTATCTCAGGTTCTTCATTTCCATCATGGGACCACAGAAATGCTGGATTCCCTCCTCCCCCTACTGGAAGCACCAATGAAATATAATCCCTTTCAAAACCCAAAGCTATCAATTTCAGTTCAGTCTTTCTTAATTATGAAGAATTGGCATTTTAAGTATCAAGTCATTCTAACAACATGAAATTTTGGTAATCACCTGGAAGTGAATCAAAACTACCCCAGTGCAATTTCCCTTGAAAAACAAAGAGGGTAAAGGGGATACAAAAAAAAAAAAAAAAAAGAAAGAAAGGGGCATGTGAAGGAGGGAAAGGGCAGAATACATGGAAACTATGCATTAACAAAAAGAGAGAGGGAGAAGAAAAGAAACAAGAAAAGGTATTTCCTGCAATATGGTTTTGCTTATCATGAATTCCTTATATAATCACAGTTGAGATAAAACATGTTTTAAATGTGAATTAGAAAATATATTGTAAAGTCAGGGAAAGTTGGAGGGGGAACCAAAGTGATTATCGTTTAACAGATGACAGGGGATGTTGGCTGTTGGAGAAAGTGGTTCTTTGAGCTACCTTGGTTAATTTTACTGTTAAAGAAACATTCTCAATGAGAAACAGAAGTAAGAGGAGGTCCACACTCTCCTCAATCCATTGCCATTTTTCACTATCAGAGCCTCTCTTATTTCAACCATGAAGTATTTTCTATTCATCTTTTACTGATTCTAAGACAAGGGGCAAATATACTGGACCTGGCGTAGGGTACATTTATTCTCAAACATTACACATCTAGGATCTCTGGTATTAATTTCCTTCAAAAAATGTTTCATGAAAACCCTGTTTCATCAGAATGATCTTTCTTTCCACCTTCTTCCAAGTGAAACCGAAAAACAATGCTAACACAGAGCACCCTCTTAAGAAGGTTTGTGTGACCCATGGAAAGACAAGAGCTCAATAGGATCAGCCAAAGCATTTCGGATTCCTACGACCTAGAACAGCGAACCCAACATTTATTCCACAGGTATTGGGTGCCACATAGGTCTTGGGATAAAGAATTGAACAAGAATCAATCCCTATCATAAAAACTAAAATCTTAACCTTCAGAAAACAGATATATAAGTCATTGAAATCTAAAGGAAAATTTACTTGACACAGGTAAAACCAGCTTGCGTTGAGGAAAAGATAGAAGTGCACCTAACTTTTCATTTATTTAACAAGCGTGTGTTGAGAACTCTCATGTGCTGAGAGCTGTCGAGTCACTGCATATGTTTGATGAAGATAAAATATAGAGTGTAACTCTTGAGGAAATTATTTTTAAGCTTAGTCCTAAGGGCTTGGCCAATTAGCCTGATGAAGGAGCTGAATAAGGAGAAGGACTCATACTAGAAAGAAGGAAAATTTTGTGCAAGGGCCCAGGCACAACTGAGCAATTATATGAAACTACAGAAATACGGGGAAGGACACTAAATTTACTATGCCCTGAAATATGCACTGTATTTTCAGATATAGGGATACCAATATCATCTGTCACTTCTTAGTTTCATGCTAGAAGTTTCTGAAATACAGTTGCTAACAGGATGGCTAGATATTGTGCTTTCTAAATGTGCTGTTAATACAGCATTACTGAATTTATGACAGATGATGAGGAGATTGATTCAGCTTTCAGTACTTGGCACACTACACAGGCACTGACTATGATTGATGTCCCAGAGAATGTGCAGAGATATCTATTTCCAATTGGTCCATAATTTCAAGGTCAAACTGTGCAGATCACCTTTCTCTGAAAATGACACCTTTAGCCTGTACAGAAGACATTTGACTGCTTTAGCATTGCTAGGACCAAAAGACAGTGGTTCTGTTAAGACAAGATGTTATGATTCACTTTGCTTCCAAGGTCCATTGGTGCCTCAGGTGGTACCTGTAGCAGGAATCAGCAATTTCAGATTTGATCAAATGTGTCCCTTTAGAAGGAACAAGGGATTAGATATGTAGCTCAATGGTAGAGTGCCTGCCTAGCATGTGCAAGGCCCTGATTGGTCAATTGGCTTTAGAAAGTTCCATCTAACACTGAACTAGTAGTTGCTCCAGGCCTATGTCTTATGTTGATTAATCTATCATATCCATGTTAATATTATTTCACTACTATCATTAAAAAAAAAAAACTAGAATCCATGCATTCTTTCTGAAATGGTTTTAGTGTGCCAATACAGCAAATTGTCACCATGAGTTCTTGAAGAGTCACACCTTTTTTTCTAAAGCTGGTTTACTCATCTATGAATTTCAGACACCAGAACCACAGAGTGGTGTTTCATATAAGATGACTATTATGAAAGATTCTGAAAACTTCAAAGACTTTGGCAACTACAGCGCGCATTATTGGTTGTAAATGGGTGAATCTTCATGATCCACCCACATACTGGTTTCCC